TGAATGCAATAATTTATATATGAAAGTTTATAGCAGTTCTATTCATAAAGTTTCTTGAATGGATGAATGAATAAATCAACTGGTGGATCCATAGGATGGAATACTGTTCAGCAATACAAAAGGCCATATTATTGCCGAAACTGATTTGGCTCAATGGATAGAGCATTGGCTTGGGGACTGAAGGGTCCCGGGTTCGATTCCAGTCAAAGGCATGTACCTTGGTTGCGGGCATATCCCCAGTAGGGGGTGTGCAAGAGGCAGCTGATTGATGACTCTCTCTCATTGATGTTTCTAACTCTCTATCTCTCTCCCTTCCTCTCTGTAAAAAATCAATAAAATATATTAAAAAAAAGACCACATTATTGATTTGCAGGACAACTTGAAAGAATCTGAAAAAGACAGCCCATACTCAGTTGCCAGCCCTTTACGTGCTCACACGCGCCTCCATATCTCTGCACTTTACTTCTGCAGCTCCTCTGACTCTCAATGTGCTTTTCTCTTTCCTTCTAGTTGTAGAATTTCCACTCAGCCAGCCTTCCTGTGGTTTTGGATGATGTCTGTTTTGCCTTTTAGTTGTAGTTTTGAAGTGGTTTTGTGAGGCAGCAAGTTCAGGTGTTTATCTATGCCGCCCTCTTGGTTTCCCTTCTAACTTGAAAGAATCTGAAAGGCTGAGTTAAAGGAGCTAGTCTTAAAAGGTTACATATTCTATGACTTTTTTTATTGACAGTATTACAGACGACTCTCATTTTCTCCCTTTTTGACTCCTTCCACTCAACTCCCACCCCACCCCAGCCCTTCCCATACTATTGTGTATGTTCATAGGTTATGTTTATATGCATATAAGTTCTTTGGTTACTCTCTTCTCATATCCACCTTCCCCTTCCCTTTCCAATTTGTCAGTCTGTTCCATGCTTCCACGTCTCTGGATCTATTTTGTACGTTAGTTAATTTTGTTCATTAGTTTCTACACTTAAGTGAGATCATATAATATGTATCTTTCTTTGACTAGCTTATTTTGCTTAGCATAGTCATCTCCAGTTCTCTCCATGCAGGGCAAGAGATCCTTCATTTTTAAAGCTGCATAGTATTCCATTGTGTAAATGTACCACTGCTTTTTTTACCCACTCATCCACTGATGGGCACTTGGGGCTATTTTCATATCTTTATTGTAAATAATGCTGCTTTGAACATAGGGATGCATATATTCTTTCTGATTGGTGTTTTGAGTTTCTTAGGATATACTAGTATTCATAGAAGTGGGATCACTGGGTCAAATGGCAGTTCTGTTTTTAATTTTTTAAGGAACCTACGTACTGTTTTCCACAGAGACTGAACCAGTCTGTATCCCTACCAACAGTGCACTCAGGTTGTTTGTTGATTTATTGATGACTAGAGGCCCGGTGCATGAAAATTCATGCACTAGAGGGGGCATCCCTCAGCCCAGAAATATTAATAGTGAGAGATAGAATCATCATTGATCAGCTGCCTCCTGCACACCCCCCACTGGGGATGGAGCCTGCACCCCAGGCATGTGCTCTGACTGGGCATCAAACCATGACCTCTGGATGCACAGGATGATAACCATTGAGCACATCAGCTGTGCTATGTTTCACTTTTTAAGGAATCACCAGGCTGTTTGCACAGTGGCCGCCCTACTTGAACTTCCCACCAGCGGTGCAGATGCTGGTTTCTCTGCATCCCACCAGCACTGTTGTTTCAGGAGGGACTTCATCACAGCTAGGAAGTGGGTGCAAGTGTGATCTCATCTCTGGTTTGACTATGTTTCCAAGCGAGTGAGTATTGATCATCTGTTCAGCTGCTCATAGACCATTTGCATCTTTTCTTTAGAGAAATGTCCATCAGAGGCCCTTGCCCATGTTCTGTCAGGTTGGTGCTGGGGTTGAGTGAGGGGAGCACTCCCAGGTCCCAGGTGTCTGTCCCTTCACAGACGGGGGACCTGCAAGCACTTCCGGGGCATTTTCACGCTGTGGACAGTGTCCTCTGATGCACAGACGGTTTTCATTTTAATGAGCCCAGTGTGTCCTCTCCTCACTGTGGCTGTGCCAATGGGGTCTACCAACACCTTCTTAAAAATTCTCTTTCTTCTTCCTATGTGACACCCACAGGTACCCACAGAGCCAGGCGCTGCTTCCCAGTGCAGATGCCCCACTGCAGCCCGAGCCAGCTTCCTGCAGGTGCGTTCAGGCTTCTGGCCTCAGGCGGGAGATGTGGGCTCAGCACCCTCCCCGCCAGCCTTCAGGGGTTCTAGTTCTCGGGACCCAGTGAACCCCTGGCCAATTTGTATTTGAATCTTTATAGTTTCTAAAGTTCATAAGTCTCAAAGGTTACAAATGCAGGTGGTATGAGAGTTACATGTACACAGATACACTCTGACAGCATCAGCTATGTGCCTGGCATGGGCATGTGCTATAGAGGCCCATTTTTAGAAGTAATTTTTATTATGGGGTTTCTGTTTTTAAAGTGAAAATCAGCCCCTGGTGGCTGCTGGATTTGCTAGTGTGTTTACACACAAAGTCTACAAATATAAGGTGGTCTCATTTAGAGGCTCATGGCTCCCTTGATGAACACAGGCTCGCACATTGCAGGCTTTCCCTTTCCGAGAAAATGTGCCAGGGCTGCTCAGGGCCCTCAGGCAGCAGCCAGAGAGTGAAGTGCAGCCATTGGAAGGCAGCGTGCTGGACGCGGAGTCTATAGCTGAACTCTGAAGCTCCTAAACCACCTGTGGTCCACTTTTCAAATCCCCAGGACCGGCACAGTGGGGGCCACTCATGACCCAGCTTTGCACATTGATCCCTTTAAGCCACAGACCTGAGAGCCGGGCCCCTGGGGGAGAATTAGAGGCCAGTGGTGGCACGAAGACGCAGGGCAGGACCCCATAGCTCAGACTCCTGGGGCCTCAGTCTGGGGTGTGGGAAGGGGGCTGGTGTCCATGGCCAGCTTTGATGCTCAGGGTGCTGGTCGAGAGTGGAGGTGAAGGACAATGTCCTGGCAGGAGGAAGTCTGGGTGCAGCAGCTTGGAAATGGGTGGGTGGGCCACATGGAGGGAATGTTCTGAGGGCACAATGGGAGGTGAGGCTGCACATTCTGTTCTGGATTGGGGCTTGGCCCTAGAACGGGGGATATGGGAGGAGGGAGGGATCGGCCAAGGCCACGGGGAAGGTGTGCAGGCTGCATGCCTGTGGGCTCCGCCCTGCAGTGTCTGCATTGGGTCAGCTTCAGCATCCAGAAGGTCCAGCCCCCAGCCTGGCAGCCCTGTGTTGTGTCTCCTGGGCTGGCAGCATTCTCCCAGCAGCCACAGCATAGCTGGGGGCATGCCCCATCCTAGCCCTCTGGGCTAGAGCAATCAGGGCACTTGGCCATGAAGCCAGGCATCTCAACCCACTCCCCCGCTGCTCGGCACCTACTCAGAGTCCTGCCCTGCTGACTGCTTGGTGGCCAGCATTCACACAAGCGGCAGCCCCGCCAGGGTCATTCAGCACCTGCTTATGCAAATTAACCCATCATATTTTATGAGTTAATTTGCATACTTCTGATTGGCTGGTGGGCATCACGGAGATATGGTCATTTTACATGTTTGTCTATTATTAAGTAGGATTATTAGGTAAGCTAGGCATTTTGACAAGAATGAGGTGATATCTCACTTGTGGTTTTAATTTGCATTTCTCTGATGATTAATAATGCTGAGCATGTTTTCATAGCTTTATTGGCCATCTGTATGTCTTCTTTGGAGAAGTATCTATTCAGGTCTTTGCCCATTTTTTGATTGGATTGTTGGTCTTCATGGTGTTGAGTTGCATGAATTCTTTGTATATTTTGGAAATTAAACCCTTATTAGATGGATTATGGGCAAATATGCTTTCCCATACAATAGGTTCCCTTTTAAATCTATGACATTCTTGAAAGAAAAAAAAACCCTATTGTGATGGAAAATAGGTCAGTGTTAGAGGTAGAGTGAAGATGTGGCTATAAAGGAATGGTGTGAAGGAGATTTATGGGGCAGTGAAAACTATTCTGTATCTTGGATAGTGGTGGTGGTTACTAGAATATCTACATGTGTTAAAATTAATTGACTTTTACACCAAAATAAAAAAGGCAATTTTATTGTACCATGATTTAAAAAGAGGACTTAAATTTAATTCAGATGGTACTTCCCTAGCCTACAGGATGTATTATAAATTTCTTAACATGATGATAGTTCCTCAGAAACAGGGCTCTTTCCATCAGAAAGCCCAAGAATATAGTTTTTATGGGGGTAGACTGAAATATGATCCTTAAGATCACGTCTGTTTCGTCTCTAAGTAAGAGATAGTTTTAGTATTGGTCAGTCAAGGATTTAGAAGATCCAATTCCTTATCTGTGTTTAGCGTTTTGTGGAATCCTGGTATAGTATAGCCTACTTTGCCTACCTATTAAATGTGACTAGGGCATAAATTGTTAGTTGGGCATAAATTGAACCATCTTTGATCACAGGCCTCATCAATCTTTCATCTAAACAGACTATTCTTTGCTACCTCAAACCCTTCCGGAGGGGTGAGGAGAGTGTAATGTAATGTAATGTGAGGTGGGCAGATTGTAATGTCAAGAGTTCTTTAGTGTGCATTTTGCATTTATGCATCTATTTAGCAGTCAGGACTGTACTTCTCTATATCACTTTCCCTCTACAGTTCATTTCATTGAAATTTGGGTCTTGCAGAGAATTGGCTTTTAGAACAATTACAGTGGCAGGTATTTCTCCACAGAATTGTCCCGAGTTGCAGCTATGTTTTAGAACTTTTTATGGCACCCTTTTCAATGTTATGATCACCCTGATGGAGATTCTTGGCTTGTGTTTCTGCTGTCCTTCCTGACCTGCCATCCCTACATGCATATGGTTTGTTTAGAGATTGGATACCACCCAAGCTTATACATCATTATCACTGCCATTCATCTCCCCCCATCCTGAAATAAATGATGAGCCACTGGTATGATTATGATTATACATTTATTAAAATATTTTAAGAAGCAAAACTCTTAATTTTGAAAACTGGTGTTCCATTATTTGGGAGAGGAGGAACAGGCTCACTTTATGGAACTTTTCTTTATGCTTTTATCTGTTACCCCACAACTACCCCAGTTTCCTCCCCATCCAGCCCCTGGCCCTGCTGATTTGCAGGGGCCTTTGAAAAAAAAGAAAAATAATGGAACAGAGAACAGCATGGATTAAAAATTAGCAGACAAAGATACAAATGCAATTCCATAAGCCATATTGCCAACTGAGGTCCTTTACAGGATGGAATGATGCTAATGGGTTTGTTTGCTTTGGTGTTCATTTCTGTCTTTTATGAAACCAAAATTATTCTACTTGTGTCCTGAGGGAAGATTATGCTGACCCCCAACTGTGTCTTCTAATCAATCATTAACATAATTTATTAGATTGAAAATCTCTTTCTTATTCTTCCCTTTCCCTTTTGGACACAGTGCAGGCCCTTTTTGGAGACCTGTAGTATTGACACCAAAAACAATTGGTGGCAGTCCAAGTCTCTTGATGTTCTCCTTCCCCACTGTTCTATCCAGGAATTGCCTGCTCAGTCCTTCAGAAAGTGCTACCAAAGATGCAACCAAACCCCAGAGCATTGGCTCTTAATGGCATTTCTGAACATAATTAAGATGGGTACTTGGTGTCTGGCCCCACCACCCGAGCAATTGTGTTACTGAAAGTAGTTAATACTGAAGTCCTGAAAGGAACTTATTTATCCAGAGGATAAACAGCTCCCTGGAGAAAGAGATTACCATTCTTTTCTTTGTTTACAAGCTAGTACGTGCAAGAACAGGTGCTTAGCAATCTGTCTTCCCTTTGAGGAAGCAACTGGTAACTAAGCAATTTAGGAGATAACTAAGTGATTTATCAAACCACACCTGCTCCTGGACCTAATTACCTATCAGTTATTCTCCATGAGTTGACTCCAGCCTCAAATTCAAGTGGTTTTGTTCAATATCATTCTGGCTCAGAGTGGGTAAAAGGGAATCCAGATGGTACAACAAAGCAACAATAGCACTACAGTATACAAAGACATATTATAAGTCAGCAAAGTAAGCACAAGAGATGAAATCTTATTATAGTTTACTATTATCAGCAATAAAAATAATTAGAAGACAGAGCCATGCTTAGGCACTGCCAAGATAAGGCTACCCTCTTCTAGGACTTCTTCTTCTTCCTTAAATTTGCTCATTTGGAACATTTCCAGTTTGGAAAAGGTCCTTCTGAGAAAAATGCAACTTGGTTCCCAACTCTGTAAGTAAGTGCGCAGGTGTTAATCTGTGCAGCCATAGAGAATTCAAGTCAGGCTGCAATGGTGACCTTCCTTATTTGACTTAACATATGTCTATGGCCATACCACCCTGAACACGCTCAATCTTGTCTGATTTAATCTAATACCTCCTCCTGGGAAGAAAGAATGATGCAGAAAAAGCCAAAGATACAGCAACAGCACACACCTCCACTGAAATATGTACAGTAAGTTTACATATGCTGATGCTTATATAAGTTTTCCGTTTATATAAGTTTCCACTAATGTTCTAAAGTTGTAGAGCTAGAACTTCTTAATTTGTTTGGCACAGTAATCAGACATTTGGGGACTATCCCCTTGTTAATATTTTTCTCCTCACCCCTGCAGAGGTAAAACACAGGCGGCTGGTTTAAGTGGGCTAGGCTGGTGGAATTCCAGAGCTGAGAACCAGTGGTTGGAGTCTGGATTGTGCACCTCGATGAACCAGCCTGGATGGAGTCAGGTGATTGAGCACGCTAAGTTTGTTTGAGAAGTAGGGAGAGGCCAGTTTTCTGGCTTTCTTTTGATCAGTGGGAAGGGACACTTACCTAAAGGTGTGAGTTGAAGGTGGGATGGGGACTACAAGGCCAAACAGGACCTCTCTGGACACTGGAGTTTGGTTAGGTTTGCCTGACTGGGAATGGGCACTGAAAAAAAAAAAAAAGCTAATTGGGATTGGGAGCAATTTTGGCATACTTTGTTTCTATGAGGAATTTGGAAGAACCATTGGAGAAGCAGAGACTAGCAGCCTCCATTTCCCCAGGGCCATGTTCTTTTTGGTTACTCTGAATGTCCCTCTTACTCAAGAGAAAGAGCAAGATGGAAAATTCAAAGGTGATTTGGGGACTTTGGGGACTCACCCAATAGCTTGTCCAGCAGATGCAGGCCCAGATGGAGCTTGTGAGGAAGGGCCTAGGCTCTTACTGGATTGACAGTCAGTCCCTAACTCAGGCATCTAAGTCACAGAGCTTAGGCCTGGTTGCTCTAAAAAGGTCATTTTATTGGGGAAGGGGAGAGAACAGGTTGGGGCAGTTGCTGATGTAGAGTCCAGGACAAACGGAGAAAAAAAGGCAGTATGCCAGCTTAGCCCTCTTCTCTAGGGCATTGGTGTTTTGTTCTCCTGTTCCTGGCCTGGCTCAGAATTTTAAAGAAGCGTCGGAATTAGCTGGGCTATGAGTAGGTCCCAGCCACTTCAAAGACGCTGAAATGCACCAAAAGATTGGAAGTTCCACCAAGAAGTCGGGCAGTTGGTAGAGGTATGTGTGTTTGCGTGTGCGTGTGCATTTGTGTAGGGTAATGGGGGTGGGTGATGGGATCAGGGTGGGGAGGGATTATTGGGTTAGCACAATAAATTATAGGGTCACTTAGAGGTCGAGTTGTATTCTCAGCTCTGAAAAATATATATATAATATATACATATATATGTCTTTCTATATAATCTATACTGCAGCACAGTGGCAAAACATTGAGTTAAAAAATTCAGCAAGAACGCAGACAAACACTCCATGGAAGCAAGCAGGCTAGGATCAAGGCAGTAGGAAGAGAGCCTATATGGTTGCCATAGGGATGAATTCCAGCCAATGGGCCCACACAGCCATTAGAGCACCACCTGTACATGTGCAAAGACATACATACACACATGGAAAAGACAAACAAAAAATTTGCGTAGAGCAGTCACCACATTTAGAAGGAAAGATTTCACATGATCATTGTAATAGGCAAATGGACAAGCTCCCAGGACCTTGCTGTCATCTTAATGAACCAACTAGAACAGACTTCCTGAAGTTGCAACAGGGAGGACTGGGAGAAAAACACAACCAAGCCTGGTTACCCTGATCCCTCTCCTCATCTCCCTGAGCATATTTCTTTCATTTATTCCCAGCATCAATAGTTTCTCTGCTAGTCAGAGAAAACCATTCCCAAACTCCCTGAAGAGGTGAACTACCTTGAATCCTTTGTAGATCCCAGGCTATTCATAAAGAACTTATCCCAATTAAATACTGTAGTTGCTCAATGTGCAAAAAGAGAACTGAATAAGACAACTCGGAATAGGAATCTTTGGCCAATGAAATGATGTAAACCTCTAAGGAGACCTGATTGAGTCCAGGAAAAATGTCTTAGTATAAAGAATTGGAGGATCTTTCTTGGTGGTGCTCATGTTTGTTCTGAAATAATTTAGTCTCGCCTGTATTGAGATTTTGAGAGCTTTTTAGTAAAATTCTAAACGTTGTGAGTTCTCCTTCCAGCTTTCAAAGGTCGAGATCTTGACGATGTTGGGGGGTCATCCGTTTTTGCTTCATCTACACGGTTTCTGCGATGCCACAAATTTCCTTCAGAAAAAAACACACAAATACAGAAATAATGAGGTTAGCACATTGCCAGATATGCAAATGTATGAATCACAAAGAGAGCAAACAAAGGAGAGACTGGTTTGTTTCTATTGTACCCTCCATCTCTGAACCATCAAACACACACACACACACACACACACACACACACACACACAAAAAAAAAAAAAAAAAAACCACACACAAAAGAAACAAACAAACAAACACCACTAAAAAAACAAAACAACAACAACAACAACAAAAACCCCACAAAAACCCAGCTGACACTATGTAAGCCAAACACAAGTGGTGGGATGAGTTCTCAGAACATGAAAATCCATGGAACTTCAGACTCTTAAATACCATCATCTCCCAATAGGCAGATTCTTAGGAAATCAAACACCTTAGACCAAACTTTAGAAAACACAGCTTGGTCCAGGAGATTCTCTATTGGCATTTGTGAAAACTCTCATTTCCTAAAAATGAAACAAACTGATACCTCCATCCCTTTTCCTCTATGTCCACTATTGCTTTATCTCTTAAGCTTCTAGATTGTCTAGGCCCAAAATTTAGGCAAGAACATTGACATCAGAATTAGCATAACTGACAACTTTAATGAGGACCTTCTTTTGAGCCACACTGCCATATCAATAATGTATAAGTTCAATTTTGAAGTTCAATTATTTGAATCAAAATTCAAATAATGCAACATAGAAGTGTTGTATTTACAGGAACTTACTATAACAAATAGTGAATAAAAATATTTACATATGTCTTGAAACCTGTTTCTGACCCTGTGGATGTCTAGCACTGATACCCCCGACTCATTTCAAATAATACTGTTTTTTGGAACAGGACTAAAATCTTATAGTCGACTAGGAGAGAAATCGAAGTATGGTTATTTTCCCATACTTATCAACTCAGAACAGGAACAGAGCAAGCAGAAAAGTAACTGCCTCATCAGCTGTCTACATCACAGAGATCACACTACAAGGTTCCTTCTCAGGTTCTTCCCCTGCCAGTGTCCATATCACTTTCTAACTCATACCTTTCCCAATAGATCGCCTAGTGTTGCCTAAGGTTGGCTCTCAGGCAGCCTCCTCCATCACCACCATAACAGTGAACATTTCTAATTGGAGTTGTGACTGCTGTGGAAGTCTTTGTGGCCCCTATCCCTGTGGAGGAGACTTACCAAGAAAACCATGGACTCGTTGGCCTGATTTAGGCTTGCTTTCCTCTTCCAGCTTCTTCTTTCTTAATATGGGGAACTTAACTTTCAACCTGAGGTTTTTACTGTCAGTGTCAGAAGATTTTTCCTGGGAAACCACAGAAAAATATTAGTTGCCTAACATTCAGAAATAATTCCTGGAGGCCTGGCAAGATGATGAACAAGGATGGTGGCAGAAAGCAGGCAGATCTGCTATCTATCCAGGTGTGGGGGACACCTCTAGTCCTATTCCCTAGGAAGGCAACTTTTCTTTATCAAGATCCTATTCTCTGCCAGGTGCTTTGCTAGATACTTTAATAAATGCTCCCATATAAGCCCCTAAAACAACCCCATAAAGTATCTACTATTATCCTTATAGAAATGAGGAAGCAGAGGCTCAAAGAGGTAAAGTATGTCACATGAAATCATGCATCTAACAATTAGTAGGGTGAGATTGCTGGGGCCACTGCTGGTACTTGTGGCATCTCTGCATGAATTTGAAAAAACTCACTCCTTCCTTTAGCCATGTGGTTTGGTAAGCTCCAACTCATTCCCTTGGGTAAATACTTTGCTATAAAGAAGAACCTGCCTTGTAGGCCACCTACTTCCATGTCTGGAAATGCAAAGAAGGTTCTCTACCCGTAGCTGTTAATTATGAGTGTGGGTTATTTGCTGTATAGACTATTTAATTCCAGCGTAGCTTCTGAGTTCTTTCACTCCTGCTAACCTGTGTTTGTTTTTACTACTGGTCTCAGTAAAACATATCCCGAGGTTAACCTTGTTGCCAGAAAGTCCAGCCAAACACAATCCAAGAAACTTGGGGATTTTCTTCTCTTCAATATTATGTATGCCTCTGATCCCTTACATTAAAAGAAGAGTATATCCCTGACCTCATCCTCTTCCTGCTCTGGCTTCTACTTACCCTTTCTCCTCTAAGCTATGTACAGGGCCTTCAGAATTGTCTTTGAGAAGTAACCTAAAGGAAGGGCACAAGACCTTTCCTCTCAGCCAAAGCCTTGGAAAGCCCAATGAATAATTGACTGTCATCCTGATTTTTTCACCAAAATGGATCTGAATCTTCTGTGGTCTTAAGGTGAGCAAGACTAGTGTCACATGAATGAGCAACATCTTCCTGGCTTTCTTTAAAACCACTCTGCCCTTTTTTGGAGCCTTACTGCTTCATCTTTATGGTAATATTGAAATCCAGAAAAGAGATTATGCCCTAGGGCAGTGGTTGGCAAACTCATTAGTCAACAGAGCCAAATATCAACAGTACAACGAATGAAATTCTTTTGAGAGCCAAATTTTAAAAACCTTTTCTAATACCACTTCTTCAAAATAGACTTGCCCAGGCCATGGTATTTTGTGGAAGAGTCACACTCAAGGGGCCAAAGAGCACATGTGGTTCTCAAGCCACAGTTTGCCGACCATGGCCCTAGGCCACACCAACTCACATACTGAGACCTTAGACTAGGGTAGGGAACCTATTTTCTGCTAAGGGCCATTTGGATATTTATGACATCCTTCACAGGCCATACAAAATTGTCAGATTAAAAATTGACCTGCTATATTTGGTTAAACATTTAATTAACTATCCCTAATGCCTTGGCAGGACCAGACCAAATGATTTCTTGGGCCTTATACGGCCCATAGGCCAGACATTCCCCACCCCTGCTTTAGACCATGGACAATCTTCCTCATTTCTCTCAGTATCCAGTCCAGTTGCTTAGTTTGGGAACTTGGTAAGATATAGCTGCACTGAGTAATAAGAGAAGTAAGATACTCCAATAGTTTGTTTCCTTTTCTGCATAACAACATGTTTTCCCCTCCCAAAGCAGCAAAATAATCAGCAAAGGCATATGAGAAAGTTATTAAATCCTTTAAGACCTAAAATTGTATGTGGCTTTTTCTCTTAAACAATAATCTGATTGCTGCACAAGTCCAAAAATGCATGCTCACAACATACATATAATTGGTGTATGATGCCAGAAACAGGTATAATGAGTAGTGGAACTAGGTATTCCTACAGTTTGAAATAAGCCATTTTATGGTGCAGAAATTTAAAGAAAAACTATATCAGACCATAAAAAGAATAATTTACCTAATAATAGGTGAGCATTTGGGGGTCATTAGATTTATTAAATGGGACTATTTTTCAATATCAGGAAAGTACTCAAAGTTGTCAAAAAATGACAGTGTCCTTGCAATTATATTGTAGCCACTAGTGGCATGCTTGATTTACTTTTAAGCCACTCATCTACTGGGGAAAGCACTGGAAAGCCTACTATTCTTCCAGATCAGGAGAAACAGGTGATAATTGGAAGAGTTAACTACTAGTAAGATCTGGGAACCATCCATTTAGAAGAGAGGTTGGCTGTAAACTACTGGTATGGTCAAAATTGTATGTACCAGATGAAATTCAGTCCTGGCAGCACATACTCAGCAGGAAAGGGGAATTGTGGCCAGGAGAACAGCACAGAAAAAAGCAAACTTGCTTATTCTTCCCCAATCATCTCCTTCCACAGAATAGTTCATTCTGGTTACTTTTCCAAGGCCATATGATTTTTCAATGTGTTTTATGTCTTGTCCTGTACACTTATGATGAGGGGATGGAAAGATGAGGCTCATTAAGCTAAAGCCAAAATCTACTATTAGATTCCCTCTGCTGTTTCAGTCATTGTCTTGACCCATACTGGAATGTAGAGCACCAAGGAATAATCCTTCTTCCCATTTATTTCCCAATCCTCAGGTCACATACCTCTGGAAAAAGGACTGAATTCATCCAGTTGATCTCAGATAGCTTTTCAAACTCCTCATTCATGGCATCCAGGGTGATTTGCAGTGTGGCCTCAGCCTCAGCATTTCTCAACTGGTGAAGACAGGAAAAAGAGTGAGTATTCAAGGCCTACAACCCTGCATCATAGACTCTTGACTTTTCTGCCACTCCTAATCTTTGCTAGTGACCATGAGACAACAGGGAGCCAACTTCCATCTTTTTTCGGCTGTGGAGTAATGGAAAAGTGTAGTGAGCTCTTTTTTTTTCTCAATAGGGAGACCCTGAAAAATCATGCAGCTCTCCTTAGGGCTGGAGATGTTCATTTTGGCAAGTAGAAAGGTCCTTTAACCAGGATCAATTAATATTGAGTTCTACCTCTACAGTTTAGGGTCTAGGACAAAGGTCTCTATAAATAGCAGCTACCAACTTTTGAGCACATACCATATGCCAGAAACTGCATTCATAATTTCATTTCATCTTTTCAATAGTTTGAGAAGTACTACTGTTCTAATTTTTGAAGTGAGAAAACAGATTCAAAGTTTAGTGTTCAAAAATCACATGGCTAGCAGAAACCGGTTTGGCTCAGTGGTAGAGCGTTGGTCTGCAGACTGAAAGGTCCTAGATTTGATTCCGGTCAAGGGCATGTACATTGGTTGCTGGCACATCCCCGGTAGGGGGTGTGCAAGAGGCAGCTGGTCGATGTTTCTCTCTCATCGACATTTCTAGCTCTCTATCCCTCTCCTTTCCTCTCTAAAAAATCAATAAAATATATTTTTTAAAAATCACATGGCTAGCTTCCAAAATGACAGCAGAGTAAGTAGAGGCTACACTGACACTTTCCCAGGACCAAACTGGAAATACAACTAAAATACAGAAAAGAAAAACATCCTGAAAAATAAACTGAAGACTAGCTGGAGAGAACCCTGATAACCAAGGATGGAAAGTGAAGATTTCATAGAGAGTGGTAGGAAGTGCAAAAGTGCAAAAGGGCTGGCCAGGCTCCCACAAACAGCAGCTGAAGTTCCAGAGAGATATCATAGCTGTGTGTGTGTGTGTGTGTGTGTGTGTGTGTGTGTGTGTGTGTGTATGTGTGTTTTCCACTCAAAATTCTGGGGTTTAAACTTTAAGCTGGGCTCCCCAACCCAGAGCACCAGAACAGAGAAAGGTGCCCCCATGACATCTTGATGTGAAAAGCAGTAGGGTTGATGTCTGCCAGGGAGAGATAGCTGGCAATGCAGGCACCCTCTTAAAAGGGTTAGAGGGGGTAGGGGTGGCCTAAAAGAGGTCAATGGGGGAAGAAAAGGGACATATGTAATACTTTCAACAATAAAGATTAAAAAAGAAAAGCAAAAAAAGAATATGGCTAGACTTACCCAGATCAGTTTAATACTATAGCCTATTCTCTATACAACACAGTCTCATAAAGGATATGTGGGGTGGCTGAATGCTAGGAGGAATCTTTACTACATAGTTACTGTAATTTAAAGGCTGCTTTGTGAAGTAAGGAAAGACCTAAAGAGAGATTGCCTCAATTTTCCCTCCTGGCAAAGAGGGCCTGCCTCTTCAGGCTGTGCTTTAGCCCCTATATATTCACTCTTAGTAAGAAATGAGTTCCAGAATGCTTGTTCCACAGGTTAAGGAAATGCAGCTTCAGTATTCCCTAGCAACTCCCAGCACCCACAGGGCTCTTTTGGAACAGTCTCCAACTCAGATAAACCAAGTTCTAGACCAGCAACATAGGTGAGATTGTTCATATTCCAGTAAATAGTGAAGTGGGATTATAGATACATGTTGACATTTTCAACCTGGACATGATTTCCAGCTTACCTAACTTGGCCTCATCTCTCCCCCCTGACATATCCTCAACTTTCAACCTGGTCCTTATGAGGCTTCTTGTAGTGGCCACTTGATGCACCAGCCATAATGGAACCTTGCCAACTGTCACAAATAAGTGGCAGGTGGAATGAGTGAGGGATGAGGCTGGAGGTTATGCTCACTCAGAATGTGATATGAGAGAGATAAATATCTTTTGATTTTGTTTTACAGTTAATGATTTAGGACAATACAGAGTAGCCCAGATGCATTGGACATTTGTGTACACATGACAGTGGGACGGGAGAGAATGGGTGTCAGATAGAAATTGCCATCACTTCAAGGTAAAGAGGGAAGGGGCAGGAGTCCTTACAGGTATACCTACCAACAACACTTTGGTAGTCAAACCCAAAGGTATAGAAAAGAAAAGAGTTTTAGGCCTTGGAAAATGAATCCTAATCATAATAGTAAAGTAATAAAATGGCTTCCTAATGACTTCATGTTTGGCATCTGGAGACTCAGGCTCTGAAAAATAGTAGGTGGGTGGGCCTGAGTCTTGTACTTTATTTTCCTGTCCTTCTGGATCCAGTGGAAAACTTGTCTAGGACTCTTTTCTGAGGTAGATGTGCAAACTGACTTAGAGGACTTAGTGCTTATTTCTTGGTTCCTGTCCCAAAACAAATGAGGTTGCCAAATAAGGAAAGTTGGAGTTCCTGAGTGGTGTTTACTTTATAATAAATCTATATCCAGCTGCCAAGAGTGAGCTCTGTAGTATCCTCCTTCAAAGGGAGAAATAACACACCCAAATGAAATAAGTATTATTAGTAATCCTCGCCCAAAGACATTTTCCCATTGATTTTTAGAGAGAGTGGAAGAGAGAGGGAAAGACAGAGAGAAACATTGATGTGAGAGGAACACACTGATTGGTTGCCTCCTGCATGAACCCTGACCAGGGCCCAGATTGGGGAGGAGCCTATACCCAAGGTATGTGCCCTTGACTGGAATAGAATCTGGGACCCTTTGATCCACAGGCCAATGCTCTGTTCACTGAGCCAAACCAGCTAGGGCTAAATGAAATAAGTCTTATCTCTATGATCCTTCAATGAAACAGCCTTTCTGGAGATACTTGGTTATTCTTAGTTAGCTTCTGCCTGACCCCTGGTCTCATTTGGATGTATGCTGTATGCTCAATTTGGGTTGTTGGCTAGCAGGAACCAATATTCATGCCATGAGCCTCAAGAAAATTTGAATGGCAATAAAAGTCCAAATTCCCATATTTCCTGCTACCCAAACTGGCAAGGCCATTGAATTCTGCTAATATATAGAAGGTATTTCTGTTGCTATTGTCTAAGGCTGAAAGACTCTAGCTTGGGGTTCAGATTCTGGGTCAACCTGACCTGATTGCCATAGGGACTCCACTGCCTATGCAGTATGCCAATTATTGTAGGTGGTGCAAATGGAAAAGGGGAAGTGGATGCACTTCTTGGAATATCAACTTCAAATAAACCATAATTAATGATAAGCAAGGACAGCACCTGCCACATTGCCCTAACAGCCAACCCCAAAGTGGGGTAATTATGATCAGTTGACTGATCAGAGCACACTCACCATGTGTGCCTATGGGCTTTGCCTTCTGTGAAACATGCAACAATTTTTGTAGCCTCAGTCCATTTTCCCTAAGGCTAATAAAATTTACTATTTATCAAACTGATGTTATACAATAATTGGCTTAATCCTACAACAACCTGGAAAGGTAGAGATTACCATTTCTATTTTGTAGGTAGGGAAACTGAGATCTAGAGAGATGGAATTATTTCACACAGCTAGTGTTATGGATTCAATTGTTTTCTCCCCCCTCCCCCCTTCCCCAACTCCCCCCCCCCCAAAAAAAAAAAAACACAACAAAACAAAACAAAGAGTTACATTGAAATTCTAACTCCAGTATCTCAGAATGTGACCTTGTTTAGAAATACGGTAATTGTGATGTAATTCATTTTTAAGATGAAGTCATACTGCAATAGGATAGACCCCTGATCCAATATGACTGCTATCCTTATAAGAAGATGGCCATTTGAGGACAGAAAGATACAGGGAGAACACTGCATGAAGATGGAAGATTGGAATAATGCATCTATAAGACAAGGAACAACAAAGATTGCTAGCAAGTCACTAGAAAATAGGAAGAGGCAAGGAAGGATTTCAGTACAGGTTTCAGAGGGAATATGGCCCTGTTGACACCTTGATTTCAGGCTTCTAGCCTACGGAACTGTGAGACACTAAGTTTCTCTTGTTTTTTGTCACCCAGAGTTTAGTACTTTGTTTCAGCAACCTTAGGAAACTAATAGTTAGTAAGGAGCAGATTTGGTATTTGAACCTAGAGTCTCCCAACTTTTCCCACTATTCTATACTGTCTTCATGGTGAGAGAGGTATGTGGACACCTGGGAGATATAGAGCTGCTTGAAGAGCAAACCTTTTCCTACTGAAGCTGTTTTAGGTATGATGGGAACAACCTAAATCCAGGAGACATTTGCCAAAGGATAGGGGAAGACTTTTCTTCAAGGACATGGCAGTTCAGTGGATTAGCATAACCTATGAAGTGACACAGTTAATGACAACCCTGGGTGAGTATAACACAGCAGGGACTGCCAGCTAAGCACCTGGCTAAAATGCTCCTCCAGGTCTTCCAATTCCCTAGAACCAAGTATAGATCATGATCATCTTCAGATGGAATACTTTGCCCTCCCTTGTTCCAACCCCTTCCACTCACCAAGTTTTTTTCCAGGAAAGCTTTGGTGTCATCGTAGAGCCCTTTAAGATTGAATGTAACACCGACTGCATCATTTCTACTTAAAGGAGCCTGAGAGGAGGAAAATGGAAAAGAAGGTAAGGGAAAGGACAAAGACCGAGGAGTTGTTGGTTAGTAAGTATGCAGCAACTGACTTCTCTATGGGAAGGGAAGAACAAGCTAGTGGGATGTGGCTGTAGGTAAAAAAGTAATATTCAAAATATCAATATAATACAGCTAGTACAGTATGGGTGCTGGAACCAAATTAGAACTGATGCCAGCTGTCAACTACTGTAGTTGTATTGGCATATCATATGAAGTGGGACAGCACAATTTGGCATTTGACATCATTGATTGAGTGCTATGGGCATAGGGAAATAGGAAATACGAAAACCAAAGAGTAACCTTGAGGCTACTTGCTGCCACTGGAATAAAACTACCAGTACCTTTCCCATGGTAGGTGAAGTTAGGCCCAACCTTCTCTCTTCTTGAAACTCAAGGCCTCCTCTAACTAGGAACTAGCCCCAAATATATAGGTAACCAACATTTTAGGAAGCCCTGACTCTATATGTGGCCCTTTGGTATCACTTGCCTAGCACTAAAACGACTTTTTAAAAGTATCACATAAGCCAGCGGGTGTGGCTTAGTCATTGTGTGTTGATCTATGAACCAGGAGGTCACAGTTCAATTCCCAGTCAGGGCACATGCCTGGGTTGCAAGCTTGATCCCCAGTGTGGGGCATGCAGGAGGGAGCCAATCAATGATTCTCTCTCATCATTGATATTTTTACTCCTCTCTCCCTCTCCCTTCTTTTTTGAAATCAATAAAAAAATATTTAAAAAATAAGAGCATCCCATAAATCTTCTGGTAATGGGTAAACTCATGGGATGGCACATTTAACATCAAGCATTAAAGCATTCTTATCTGGATATTTCCCTTTAAGAGGGAAACCAAGGCAGCTTGGAGCTCAGGTTTCAATGACAGGTGTTGCCTTAACAGGCTACCTGGAATTAAGAAGGGCCAAGGCCAAGTTTCTCTCCATTTAATTGCCCCTTTCCCTCTACGGTCAGTGTGGTAGGTGGCTATCAGAGAAGAGGGCTAGGTCTCAGATGATGAAATCTGCTATAGGATTCCCCGAGTAGCCACTCTGGACTTGTAACAGTCAAGGAATACCTGCCTTCCCTTCCACTCTATCCATCAATTTCCTGACATATCATTTGCCCAATTTCTCCATGCTGCCTAGGAAGCATCCCCTTCCTTTCTTTTCATCCCCTTTTCTATTTGGTTTGCCCTTTGCCCCCGTACCTCAATGTCAGCACAGGAAGCTGCACCTGCCTCATTGCTGCTGTCTTGGCCATAAAAAATGTCTTCCAGGATTTTGGCACTGGCATTCACAGAATCCATGAGGACAGATACATGCTGGTGGATCTTGCTCAGGTTAGTAAGTCTGTAATAAAACAAGGACAGATAGATAAGTGTGTAGTTCTGAAGGACTTCTGTCCTGGGGTGCTGGTGATGGCTTGGCTAAGAATAGAAAGTCCTGGGTACCCAAATTGACACTTCCTATTATTTTTATTTTTCTTTAAGTAGCCATCTGTGCCAAAGAAACTGTCTCTACTCTAGGTATTCATCTTTGTCTATCTTGTCTCAGTTGTAGGTGCTTCGGGACAGTGGGAGGCCATAGTATAGGAGGGCAGATGACTCAAGAAACTTCAAGGCCCTGCTGATATTTAAGGGAAAGGATGAACATTCTTATTCCTATTTGGGTCTGGGAAAACAGGAGGAAATAAAAGTTCATCTCTGACCAAAACTGGTTTGGCTCAGTGGATAGAGGGTCGACCTGCGGACTGAAGGGTCCCAGGTTCTATTCCGGTCAAGGGCATATATCTCGGTTGAGGGAACATCCCCAGTGGGGGGTGTGCGGGAGGCAGCTGATCGATGTTTCTCTCTCATTGATGTTTCTGGCTCTCTGGCTCTCTGCCTTCCTTACTGTGAAAAATCAATAATAGATCAACTGAAGGACTTGTATACATGCATATAAGTACAACCAATGGACATAAAGCTTTGGGGAGGGAGGGGATGTGTGGGAGGGAGGGAGGGGAAAAAATCAATAAAATATGTAAAAAATAAATTAATTAATTAATTAAATTAAAAAATATATATATATTTTTTAAAAAAAGTTCATCCCTGGGTCTAATGGGAGCGGTCCAAGTTGGCTTATTGCTGAGTACAAAGACCATTTCCTATTTGGATTGTCAGGGTCTCTGTCAAACTTCAGAGCTCTGGGTAAAACTTCTGAGAACAAGCTCCCCAGTAGCCAATAGATACAAATCAGCTTTTTCCTATATCCCTTTTTAGGATTTTCAGCCCTGTGTCTAGGCTAGTTTCACTTACCCGCTGATGAGGTTTTCAGCAAGCCGAGCTAACTGCTGCATCTGGGCATACTCCTCATCAGAGAGGCTATCTTGAGATCCCTGGGAGTCCAATTGGGGTTGAGAGGCAGCTTGAATTTCAGTATGCTTGCTCTCCCACATTTTCATTGAGTTCTCAAAGTCCTGGAGATGAAGACAGTGGCAGATCCTAATGATTTCTGTAGCTAAGAGGGCATGTGACAGATCTGTATGTGAGTCTGAAATTTGTGGGTATCGTGCAGAAAGGGAAAAGAGTGCCTTCACCCCCTATATACCCAATTACACACCTATACAAATATCCATCATTTTATTCAATGTCTCTTTTGTACTAGGCACTTTTAGTTTTTGCTGTCGTTGTTACTATCGTGAATCTTGGGACAATATGTTTCAATCAGATAGACATCTGCCTTCCAGATACTCTTATATGGTTGCACTATTATCAGTACGATAGCGGAGCATCTTTCATGTTCCCTGCTTTGCCAAATCTAAGTAATATGTTGTGATAGACTTTAGAACCAGAGATATCTGATTTAATTTTGAATCATCCTTCTATCATTTACTGGTTGTATGACCTTTAGCAACTTATTTAACCTCTTTGGTCCTCATTTTCTTCACCTGTAAAATGGAAATAAGTGTATCTATGTTATCAAATTGTTGGGGGGACCTATCTGAGATAATATATTTAAACTGTCCACCACAATGTAGGCTAGAGAGGAGTCATTAATGATCAGATGTTCAGTGCTTGGAATCTCTTGTTGAAAGAACAGATTTCTCTTGAACTACCCAGTCTTAGCTCTATGTGCAGTGGAGAGAGGACAGCTTTGTCCAAAGCCATAGGAGGGAAGCTCCTTGTCTCACTCTCTTAGAGGTTTGAAAATGTCAGTATATATCAGAATGTCTTGGGGAAGGCGTTGTTTAAAAACTCAAGTTCCCAGAAACTACCCATCCCCATTCTGATTCATTAGGCCCAGGGTGCACATTTCTAGCAAGTAACCAAAGTGACTTATTATAAAAGTAGCAAACATGCATCCCTTGGAGGAATTCTGCTTGACTGGAAGTATTCAGTACTCAGCAAGAGTTGTATATGAGACAATGCAGGAGCCCAAGACAAGCCTTTCCTTTCTTACCCGATCTCTTGTCAGCATCTGGGCAGTGTTCTTGTATCTAATCTTGATAAGGCCTGGCCTCTGAACCCAGGCCTCCCCATCCACCTGCACTGGGATACCTTCTTCACCATCAATGGTTATCATCACCTCACGACACTGCCAGGAAAGAAGAAGGAGAATAGGGCAGAAAAAATGAGGCAACTACTGTAGAGCAATCTGATAATACCACAGTCATGGCCATAATGTGTATCTGCAGCAGGACTGGCAAGGATGTAAATCAGATTATTTCATGGATGAAATACCTGCTATCTATGGGTTTTTTGCTCCTTCAGTCCCTACCACCTTTGTCTCCAACCTTAGCCAGTACCTTGCTGTCCACCAGATAACCTCAACACTCTACCCTGACAGTTATTCCCAATTAATTTCTGGGACAACTCCATATCCTGGAGTGTAGCTACAGAGTTCAGTCCCTTTCTTGTGCCAACCCAGCCCCTACCTACCTGGGCAATGCGATGATGATGCAGATTGATGATACGGGACATCGCCATCTGTACAGAACCAAAGATTGCCACTATCTCCAGCTTTCCATCATCTATTGCAGGTACCTCATATTCCTGGGGAGGAAGAATTGTGTCACATATCCACTTGATAAACCATACATTGTCTATCACAGAACAGGTATGCTTTGAAGGCTCCTAGTGAGAATTTTTCTAGCTCATGAAGAGTGGAGTGACTATATATTAAAAAGGGAAAGATGAGGTCAGGAGCCCACCTGGGAAAAGGACACCGCGATGATAATTCTTAGTTCCTTTTGAGATCACTGCTCTGCGCTGGTTCCCTCTCTGTCTAATCTAGCACCATAAATGCCCAAGGCCAATCTTATTGGCCTCATGACCTTCTTGAGTGAGCTTAGAGAAAATGGTCATTTCCAGTTTCTCAGGAGATTTTATTGACAGATCTCTCTGGAGAAAAGAGCATGGCTTAGGTAACCTTATTAGGATCTGTCATGCCTAAGGAATGAAAAATTCAAAGTCCAGGTGACACCTAAGAATTGATCTGATCCTGGGGTCTTTGGTTGATTCTTTTTCTATTTTTATTTTTTGTTCTGAAATGCTAATTAAAATACTGCTTATATAGCTGCTATCAATAAAGGTTCCCAGCTGACTTCTTCTTCCCACATTGTCCACTTTCTTTCTACCCCAGTGAGTCCAACTCTCCTTTCTGAGATATCTTAGAGGGGCCAGACATTTCTTCCTCCCTGTCCCTTATTTTATACTTACAGTGGTTGCTGTGCTGCTTCCCCAGAAGTTGATGCCTCCAGCATAGCTGGGAATGTTGAGCACTACAATGCCTTGCAGGTTTGGCAAAGAGATAGCTTTTCCGTCACACTGAAAGATAGAAACGTGAAGGAACATTATAGAGATAGGGGAAGACATCTGCTCTTCATGCTATCATTTTCTCAACCATAAAATGGAAATCTATCTTCTGCCTTCCTCCCATGAGCTCTGAGGATCAGAGGTAAAGCTCAGAGAGAAGCAAGAATATAGGAGAAAGTTGATTCCCAAAGTCATGAGATTTCTTTCTTTTTTCTATGTTCAGGAAAGACTACCCTCTTTTCTACTAACCTCCAGGTGCACTCGTTCTTCGAGGTTCCTGTAAGAGCGCTGCAAAAGTTCTTTGCTTCCCAAAAGACCATACCACATCTTGTTCTTAAGGCGGCTACTGTAGGGAGATAAAGTAGAGAAAGGTAGCCACAGGGTGAATAATATAAAGGTCAATGGATGAGGAAAAGCAAGATGGGACACCATTTTATACCTCAAGTGCCTTCATATAGAGAGGAGTCATATTGAATGGTAACTAAACACAAGAGGATATGCTAAGATGGTATAACTGGTATCTCCACTCAAACATCTGCTGAAATGGGTTCCTGGCCCTGTTGAATGCTTTAGCATCTTATCGGTACATAAGGTTGCCATTTTCCTTGCTTCTGATATTGGTTCAGACTTGGAAGAGACAACCAATATTCAGCAAGTAATGCTTATAAAAAGCTTTGAGTATAGCTGGCTGTAGACACTAGCTACCTTGTCAAGTACCATTCTAGGAGCTCAAGATTTCAGCTTCATGGAATCAATTTCATTTGAAACATATGACTTTTTCTTTGAATCACTTTTTTTTCTGGCAAAGTGGAGGGAGTTTTCTGAGATCTGTATATTAATCATCTAATTTTTTAAAACCATTCCTATCTTTTCTTTAAAATATATTTTATTGATTTTTTACAGAGAAGAAGGGAGAGAGATAGCCAGAAATGTCGATGAGAGAGAAACATTGACCAGCCGCCTCCTGCAAACTCCCCACCGGGGATGTGCCCGCAACCAATGTACATGCCCTTGACCGGAATCGAACCTGGGACCTTTCAGTCCGCAGACCGACGCTCTACCACTGAGCCAAACCGGTTTCGGCTTAATCATCTAATTTAGTGCTATATAGTTTGTCTTAAGTTTACTATGTAGATTATAGAGGAAGATCCAGTGGAGAGAAGATAGGACAGGCAAATATATCAAGAAACTTTGGGTGAAGGTAGAAAGGACAGGATCCTGCTGATTGTAGGATCTCTAATCAAAACAAGCAGAGAGCTTTACAATCACTAGAAAGGTTGGCTAGAGTTTGCTATGAGTTTTTATTTATCCTTTTATTTGATTTATTTAAAACTATTTATTGGGAGTATTATAGATGTTCCCCTTCCTCAATCTCCCATTGCCTTCTTCCACCTAGTTCCCACCCCACCCCAGGCATTCACTAACTACCCTATTGTCTGTGTACATAAGTAATGCATAATACATATGTTCTTTGATTAATCTCTTCCCACTCCCCATCCCTCTGAGATTTGTCACTCTGTTCCATGTTTTTATGCCTCTGATTCTATTTTATTAATTGGTTCATTTTGTTCTTTAGGTTCTTTGTTCATTTATTTTGATTTTTAGATTCAATTGTTGATAGTTATGTATTTATTGCCATTTTATTGTTCATATTTTTATCTCTTCTTCTTCTTATTGTTATTATTATTATTATTATATTATTATTATTTCTAGTGGTCCAGTGCATGAAATTCATGCATGAGGGTGGGCAGTTCCCTCAGCCCAGCTTGCACCCTCTCCAATCGAGGATTGCTGGCTCCTAACTTCTCACCTGCCTGCCTGCCTGATTGCCCCTAACTCCTCTGCCTGCCTGCCTGATTGCCCCTAATCTCTCTGCCTGCCTGCCTGATTGCCCCTATCTGCCCTCCCCTGCTGGCCTGATCTCATCCCCAAAGGCCTTCTCTGCCAGCCTGATCTTGCCCCAACTTCCCTCCCCTGCTGGCCTGGTTGCCCCCAATTGCCCTTCCCTGCTAGCCTGATCTCGCTCCCAGTGGTCCTCCCCTGCCAGTCTGATCTGGCCCCCAACTGCCCTACATGCCTGGCCTGGTTACCCCAACTGTTCTCCCTGCTGGCCTGATTGTGCCCCCAACTACCCTCCCCTGTAGGCCTGATTGTCCCTAACAGTCTCTGACTCAGCCCCCGCCACTATGGCTTTGTCCAGAAGGAAGTCAGATGTCCGAAAGATGGCTGGTTGACCCAGTCTAATTAGCATATCACCCTTTTAGTAGTACAGATAGATTATATAATATAGTATTGCTTACCGTATTTTCCGGCGTATAAGACTACTTTTGAAATGAAAAGAAGTCAACCAAAAATCGGGGGCAAAAGACCAAAATTGCACAAAAATTACCTGCAGATCTTGGCGGCAAAGTAAGTCTTTTCTTTGAAGTGGGGGGTAGTCTTATACAGCGAATATAGGCCTAAACCTATGTTTTAACTGTAAAATTAGGGGGTCGTCTTATATGCCGGAAAATATGGTAATTAGGGAGGGAGCTTTTTTAGCAAGAGGAGATTCTCTTGGCAGACAAAAACACATAATCCCTATATCTGGACTGATAGCCAATCATATGCACTATACTGCCAAACTGGTCATTAAAAAGTTGAACCACCTTCTTAAACCTTACACCAAATAGCTGTTACCTTTAAAACCCCTCCTCAGCCCCTACCTTAGGCTCTGCCTTTACAGTTCACCCAGGTTAGGTTTTGATTGGTTGGTTTCTATGCCAGTCAGCATCAAAAGCTCTGCCTCCTAGGCAGCCATTAGCTCCTGGCACTTCACCCAAATTTGATTCTGATTAGTTGGTTTCTATGCCAGTCCACATCTCTGGGCCTTTCAACGGGCCTGATCAGAGAGGTGGGGCTGATCAGCAGCCCTAGCAGAGGCCTGAGAGAAAGAGAGGAATGGCTGCTAGCCAGGCCTGGAGTGAAAGAGAGAGGAGAGTGCTGATCAGCAGCTGCCACGAAGGCTATGGATTGACCCTGCTTCTCTGTCCAGGCCTCTCTTCACACTTGATTCATAGCCTCCTTGACAGTCAGTGCTGGGTGAGGGTGCCTGAAGTGGTCACTATCAGTGCTGGGTCTCCTCAGCAACACAGCACTGACTTTGGTCAATCGAGCCTTTGGTTGTTTTGGATGTTATGGACCCTGGGTTTTTATATATGAGGATTACTAGAGGCCCAGTGCATGAAATTCATGCACTTGTGGGGTTCCTCAGCCTGGCCTGTGTCCTCTCCCAGTCTGGGAGTCCTTGGAGGATGTCCATTAGTCAGACATCCTTATCTCCATGGAGGCGGGAGAGGTTTCCATCACTGCTGCTGCACTTGCCAGCCATGAGCCCAACTTCTGGCTGAGTGGTGCTCCCCCTGTGGGAGTGCACTGACCACCAGGGGGCAGCTCCTGTGTTTAGCCTCTGTCCCCGGTGGTCAGTGTGCATCATAGCTACCAGATGTTCTGCTGTTTGGTCGATTTGCATATTAGCCTTTTATCATATAGAATTACTCAAGAATACCCTTTAATAGTTCATGTAATACTGGTTTGGTGGTAATGAACTTCTTTATCTTTTCCTTGTCTGTGAAGCTCTTTATCTGACCTTCAATTCTTTTTAAATTAAATGTATTGGAGTGATATTGGTTAATAAGATTATATGCAAGTGTACAACTCTATGATACATCATCTGCATATTGCACTATGTACCCACCACTCAAAATCAAATCTTCCTTCACCATATATTTGACCCCCTTTACCCTTTAATGCCCTACCCCACCTCTTCTTCCTCCAGTAACTACCATACTGTCTGTGTCAATGAGTTTTTGTTTTTAAAGTAAAGCCACAGAAATAAATCACCACAGGCATGAGCTTTGAAATGTAAAAAGGCTAGTATAAAATTACTTGTATTCTGTTTTAAATCACAAGTACTTTGGGCACTTTAGTTTCTATATCTATAAAAATGGTTTCATTATATATAAATGCTAAATACCTAGAACAACTACGACAATTCTGAAAAAGAACAAAGTTGGAGGACTTTCATCTTTCAATATCAAAACTAACTTTAAAGCTACAAATTAACAAGATAGTGTGGTATTTGTATAGAATAAACACATAGATAAATGGAATAGAAATGATAATCTAAAATCAATAGGTCCAAGGAAACCAGGTTAGTAACACAAATAACTAGTCAGTTGATACTTTGCAACCTTGTTAATAAAAAAACAGACCCAAAGCCACTACTAGGATCTGGTTAAGTTTTCACAGAACAAAGGTAAGCAATTTGCTGAATCAAGTCAATGTAATCTGTTTAAAATAACAGTAACACAGTTAGTTGTGTCTACACAATAACTTACATGTCTAGATTAAGAAGGCAGCCAAAGTTCAGGATGCCAAATGCAGAGTCATCACAGATTAAGTTAACATTTGGGCAAGCAGTACCATTAGGATAATCTTGGGACTAATGTGTTTTATTTCCAAAGGACCTCTTATTTTTGTTGCGTGTCTGAGAGGTAGGGTATGTAGCAATATACTATGTATATATGGTTATTGTCTGTCTTCATGTAAGAAGATGAGTTTATTTTCCTTACTTGTATTGTCCTGGGTGTTCATCTCTTCTGTTGTTGAACTCCAGAGAAATTTTAGCATCTAGTCCAATTCCAAAATAGTTGTTCATGACGCACTTTTCTTTGAAACGTCTGAAATTAGGCAAAGGGAAGAGGAGAACAGACATTGGTGCACAAAAGAAGTGTCATTATTAATTGGCAGCAGACTTCATATGCATGATAAAAAAAGCACTGACGGAAGGCCTCCTCTACATTGGACACAAGCCTTAATGTTCTTGGGAAGCACAAGTAGATTTCCTATTGTGTTAACAACTAGCATTGTTAGCTGTAAAAGAGGGCACCCACCTAGTTGGGAAGATTCAGTGGATTTGGGGCTCATAATAAAGAAATAATCTTTGGAAGTCCTCAGATATGAGTGGCCAATATTTTCCCACATATAATAAAGGGGAATAGAGTCATTGGTTTATTCCCACAATGAACTTTTGAGTATTTCACATAAAAATGTATGAGAGTAGCCCTGGCTGGTATGGCTCAATTGGTTGTGTCGTCCCTTGCGCCAAGGGGCTGCTGGTTTGATTCTGGGTCAGGCTACATACCCAGGTTGTGGGGTTGGTTCCTAGTTGGGGTGCGTATGGGAGGCAACCAATCAATGTTTCTCATATTAATTTTTCTCTCTCTACTTTTCCTTTCCTTTCTCTCTAAAATAAATAAAATCATATTTAAAAACAATAAAAATGTATGAGAGTAAAGCCTGTACTATTTTTAAAAAGATATATCTGTACTCCTTTGTGGTGTGTTCACACCAAAGAGCAAAGTGTCCACACATTTGGAGAACAGACTGATAAAAGAGGATATATGTCAGGCAGTTTTTTTTTATTCTGCATTCTTCTCAGGTGTTGACATCAATACCAGTGGTGTGCTGAAGCTTGTTTTTACCAGTTCATGTCAGCTATCACTTCTCAACTCTACATTTAATGGAATTGTATCAGTAGCTTGAAATAGATTATGGTGGGAGGGTTTATCTCAGGAAATAAATCAGGGCTTTTCTCTCCCCAACCCAGAGAGCTGGTTTTAGTATACCACTGATCAAAACTCATTAGGTAAGTCCATGAACTTAAGCCAATGGTGAAGAGAAGGGAGTGGGAGCTAGAGATAGGAATAAATGGAAAGCTACAAAAAAAAAACCAAAAAAACCTTCAATAATTGCTACTGTGTTCATTTGGGAAACTGAAAATGGGTACAGTGTAGCCATTTAAAATTACAAATAATTTTAAAAATTCATTACTTAACTGACCCTACATCTCTCACATGAGATTTGCTTCCCTCAACCGCAGTACAGAAATTGAGGTCTTTCTAACTGATGTTCAACTGATCTTTTTAATGTAACTCAAAATGAGTGAATAGGACAGAACTTGGCTGCTGGGAATATTCTAAACTGGTAGGGTTAGTGAGACAAACATCTTTAGATTTATTGTCTACCCCCTTAAATGCCCATTTATTCTTTTAGTCCCTTCAGTCGTTTACTGTTAAAGGCAACAGTGGGAAAACAAGTCATTTGAAAGAACAACAGCTAACATTTATTGTTTATAATATTAATAACAATAATAAATATCAACACATATAGCATTTAACTATGGGTGCCAAGCACTGCTCAATGAAAGTGCTTTGCATATATAAACTCAATAAATATGACAAATCTATGTGACAGGTTCTACAATTACCTCCATTTTATATGTAAGGAAACTGAGGCTCATATAGGTTGCATAAGGTTGGACAACTAGTAGAGTACAGTAAAGATTTGAGTCTGGGCATTCTTAGGCTATGCTCTTAATCAGAGAAAAGAAAGCCACAAAAAGCTCATAAGGCTAAATACTTACATAGTTTCAGGTGTAAAATGTAAGTGCTCCAAATTAAGGTTATCTAGGTCTTCACTTTCGAGAGAAGGTATAGCAGACAAGATGCCACAACGAGAACCTAGAGACAAATGACATCACCTTGGTGTCAGAGGCAAACAAGAAATCCCTGTCATCACTTGTGTTTCACACTATTTTGTCTGTGGAACTAGGGTCAAGCTCAATGACTCTCGGAGATAACATTCAGGGTTTGCTTTCCAAAGAGGGAGATCTTAGATAGACAGGCTTTCACTGAGAGGACAGGGAAGCTGAGTTACTTGCTTTCTAGCAGTGAAACAGCTTCAAATCTTGGATTTCATCAGGCCAGCCTTTTCAAAGGACCTAATAGCGTCATTACTTGTGGACATTGGCATGGGGTCTTTTTTTTTTTCCCCAAAAGAAATTTTATTTTTTATTATTTTTTTAAATTTAATTAATTAATTTATTTATTTTTACATATTTTATTGATTTTTCCCCCTCCCTCCCTCCCACACATCCCCTCCCTCCCCAGAGCTTTATGTCCATTGGTTGTACTTATATGCATGTATACAAGTCCTTCAGTTAATCTATTATCTCCCCCAGATCCTCCTCCCCTCCCCACTGAAATTTGACAATCTGCTTGTTGCTTTACTGTCTCTGTATCTATCTTTTGGTTCATCAGTTTATAATGATCTTTATTATCCACAAATGAGTGAGGTCATGTGGTGTTTGGGTCTTAATAGTGTGAGTTTTCTAAGAGGAACGGGAATATACTGCAGAGTAGAATTATGGCTAAAGGAAAATGCATGAAAACACATCTTTATTTTCTGCCACTAGAAGACAGTGATAAAGGGTAGAATAAGAACAGAAATATCCTTACGGTGTCTTGGGCTTGTCTGGCTAATATCTTCTGAGTCATCTTCCGGGGAAAAAGTTGAAGTAAAGTTCTTAACCGATATCGTTTTTCGGCTTTGTTCATCCAGAACTAGAGAAAAAGTGGAAGGAAAGGAAAGTGAAATAAAAAAGAGTGTGTGTGTGTGGGGGAGGATTGGTTACATTTATCAGGCATTTTTCCAGAATTTCCTTTATTTAGTTAATGCCAATGTGTGGTTAGACAACAGAGACTTTCATATGGACCATCACCCCTCCTCCATGATACTTTTGTGGTCTCAGGTTTCTTACAGTATAGCCCCCACATCTCTTCATATCCATGCTCGAGCTTTATCTGTTTTACTAGTCACTTTTTATCTGTCACCCAGTAAATGTGATTGTGAGTAGAGGCTCAGGGCCAGCTGTGGGAAGGGGGTGGGACACCGTGGGAAACTCTCTGCTCTTCTACCTCTATTCTTAGCTCTTTGTTAATTCATTTACTCACATGACTTTTTCTGCAAATGTAAGTTTCGAGGAACATGCCATTCTTACATGTTTCTTACCCATACACAGAATATTTGAGAAGTCTCCTTCATTTCACCAGTATAGTGTATAGCTCAGGTGCTCAGCCTATGCCAAAACACATAGGTTCAATCTCTATCCTAACAGGGATGGCTTTCCCTATCTCATATCCACAAACTGCACTTCTAAAATCTGACTTATGTGTTGATGAAGTAGGTTGAGGATTGGTTGTAATCCAATCACTACTATTATACTTAGAAACTACTACAGAAATAGAGGCAAACTGATGGATTCTTTCAAAATGCAGAAGGGATATTTCCTTTCTTTCTTGGAAATTTGGCTGAGGTTCTGTTTAAAGATACCAAGGCAGAAAAAGGTACCACGGCTGAAAGTCAAAGGACTTTTACATGGACATCTGCTCAATTTCAATAGCTCAGGTAGAATACACTTGGTCTTATACCATCTTCTGATCTGCTTTTCAAAGAAGCATTGTAGGAAGAAGTAGGAACCAAAATGTTAAGAAGTTGAAGGAGTTGAAAGAGTTTCCATACTGAGTTGAAAGTTTGCAACTTCTCATGAGTTTGGGAAATAGAGATCAATTTCAGAACTCCCAGGACCACTCTCAGGGCCCTTGTGCTTAATTGATACTGTGCAAGACATGAAGAGATAAGTACTATTTTCTTTCTAAAATAGTCACAGGCTTGGTGGTTGAATGGAAACAGGAATAGGTAGAAAGATTCATGGCTGGGGGTGGAAGCTGACAGATCTTTGAACAGCTGTAATTTTTTAGAATGAGCGTTAGTTCTAAAAATAAATGAGTAGCAAGAGTTGAGTGCCTCGGAGGTAGGAAGGGCCAAAGTGGCAGCTTATCATAAGGACTGACATTTTTCAAATCAGCAGTCTGAGGACTGATTTTGGATGCTATGTGAATGCAGAATCTAGTCAAGTTTTGGTAGTGGAGTCAAGAAGAAAACCTACAGAGAGGGAGACCAGTAAACCATTCACTGGAACTTTCTTTTTTTCCTACCTCAATCTCCACAACCCTGGGACCCTTACCTTGTTCAACTTGGAATACAACGAGTTTCAAGGATTTCTGGAGATTCTTGGCCTTTGTGGCCAGCTCCAACTTGTACTTGGCTATGTTGTCTATTTGAGGGTCGAAGGGCTTTCCATCTGCCTTATTACTCTCTGCACATACTGTTGCACTCTTCTCAATGGCTGCCTCTTCAGCCAGGACATCAATCAGGACACTGAGCTTGTCATATATCAAGTCGCTCTATATAGGGAGGAAAGGAGACAGAACATTATTATAAGGGACCAGTTCTTGAGAGAACAGAATGAGGTGCTGGGGTGATATGGGAAGAGGTGAGAAGGGGTAGTAGCTGGCTAGGAACAATGAGCATAGAAAGTTATCTGTGGGGAGTTGAAAATTTGGGAAAATAAATACTTGGGTAGATGTGATGAAATAACCGAAAAGTGTTTGGGGATCAAACAGATATTATTTGTTTCTGAATAGCTGCAGGAACCAGTGCATGTTGCCAAGTTTTTCTCATATCATATCTATACTAATAAAAGGGTGATATGCTAATTAGACCAGATAGTTTGGATGTCTTCCAAACGTCCTTCTGGACAAAGCCACAGTGGCGCAGGCCGAGGCAGAGGTGGTTAGGAGTGATCAGGCAAGCAGGCAGAGGAGTTAGGGGCAATCAGGCAGGCAGAGATGGTTAGGAGTGATCAGGCAGGCAGGCAGGTGAGCAGTTAAGGAGCCAGCGGTCCTGGATTGTGAGAAGGATGTCCAACTGGATCAGGCCTAAATTGGCAGTCAGACACTCTCCAAGGGGTCCTGAATTGGAGAGGGTGCAGGCCATGCTTAGGGACCCCCTCCCCCTGCACAAATTTCATGCACTGGGCATCTAGTTGGACTATAAAATGATATGGCCAACTTGAGGAAAGGTATATATTTCGGAACTGGTATTTTTTTTTTGAGCATGATCCTATGGATGTGGACATGTCCCTGCATGGGTGCCTGGTGTGTCTGCCTTTGTATGTGTGTATGTTTGGGAAAGTGCTGAGTAATTATGGCTTGAATCCCAGCTATATCACTTAATAGTTTGTGACTTGAGTAAGGTGACCAGACGCCCCGCTTTTGGTGGGACAGTCCCGATTTTTAACAACTTGTCCCGCATCCCATGGTGTTTTAAAAAAGTCCCGATTTTTGGAAAGAATTCATGACAAGTTAGGGAACGGCAGGAGAACAGGAAGGGAATATCCAGTTTTCAGCGGCCATGTGGCTATTTAGCCAGGATATGAGTTTTATATTATTTTTGTTAATTTTATAATGTTAAACTTTAATAATAACAAGTAATTTTTGAGAACTGATTATTGAGAACTGCTTATCAAAGTTTGCATTGTTGATCAATTGTTAGAATTTGACCACCATTGTTTGGACTTAATGAACAATGGCATTTTTTGGGATTGGCAATGAAGAAAACATTTTGTAACTCTCAGACGATACACATCGTACTGCGTGCTAGTAAGCTAGTTAAACAAGTGATGTCATTACAAGTCAGCTATTCAGATAATTTAGGTAAGTAATTTATTTATTTCATAAAAAAATATTTTGTTGCTCCATATAAACCCCCCTTTCCCCCGTCAATGGTGTCCCGCTTTACCAATGTGAAAATCTGCTCACCTTAGACTTGAGGCAAGTTACCTAACCTCCTTGTGCTTTTGTATTACAAGACAATTGTGAGGGCTTTCCATCTGCCTTGCTACTATCTGCCCATACTGTTGCACTCTTCTCAATGGCTGCCTCCTCAGCCAGGACATCAATCAGGATATTAAATTAAAAGTTCTTAACAGTTCCTGGCACAGAGTAAGTACTGTTATAATTGTTATCTATTGTTGCTGTTTTTAAAGTGGCAAATGTGAAAAAAAATAAAGTGGCAAATGTGGGTATATTTCTAGTATGTATTTTTGTACATATTTTCAAGCATGTTCTGGTATACAACCGTGTGCATACATGCTTGGTGTATACTTGTGTCTAGATGTGGGCAGATGCTTGACATATAGTTAGGTACATAGGTACATGATACATATATAAGCATGAATAATGCCACTCCTCATTTGGTAAAAGATGGAATTTGATGAGGTGGACTTTTCCTCATCAGGGAGTTGCTCCTCCCTGCTTTTCTTTTACAATTTCTAGTGAGAAGTACCTGGCTCCACAGAGTGCAAGACAAAAGGAATGGAAACTTACTTTCAAAATCACAGACGCTATTGTTGCATTGTTCTGTTTTATCTGCCTCCAGGCCTTTACAATATCAACCACAAAATCTTCCACTGCTGAGCACAGGAATCTGGAAAGATGAGACAGATAGCACAATGTGACATAGATCATGAGATCTAGAGCCCTTCTTTCTTATATTATCACTAGAGGCCCGGTGCACAAAATTTGTGCCCCCAGGCGGGGGGTGGGGTGGGGGTTGTCCCTCAACCCAGACTGCACCCTCTCCAATATGGGAACCCTTGAGGACTGTCCGGCTGCCTGTTTAGGCCTGATCCCAGTAGGATTGGGCCTAAATGGGCAGTCAGACATCCCTCTCACACTCCAAGACTGCTGGCTTCTAACTGCTCGCCTATCTGCCTTCCTGATTGCCCTTAACGGCTTCTGCTTGCCAGCCTGATCACCCCCTAACCACTCCCCTGCCAGCCTGATTGATGCCTAACTGCTCCCCTGCAGGCCAGGTCCCTCCTAACTGCCCTCCCCTGTAGGCCTGGGTCCCCCCCCCCCCAACTGCCCTCCCCTGCAGGCCCGGTTGCTCCCTGCTTCCCTCCTCTGCTGGCCTGGTCAACCCTAACTGCCCTCCTCTGCAGGCTTGATTGTCATCAACTGTCCTCCCTTGCAGATCTGGTCCCTCCCAACTGCCCTCCCCTGCTGGCCATCTTGTGGCAGCCATCTTGTGTGTTGGAGTGATGGCCAATTTGCATATTATTCTTTTATTAGATAGGATTAGATAGGATAGAGGCCTGGTGCAAGGGTGGGGACTGGCTGGTTTGCCCTGAAGGATGTCCTGGATCAGGGTGGGGGTTCCCTTGGGGCATGGGGCAGCCTGGGCGAGGGGCCTGTGGTGGTTTGCAGGCTGGCTATGTCCTCCAGTGACCCAAGCAGAGGCTCTGGTATCTGGGATTTACTTTTCTTCTATAACTGAAACTTTGTAGCCTTGAGTGGAGGCAAGCTTCCTGCTTGCTCCATGGCTGCAGCCATATTTGTTGGGATTTAGTTATCTTCTATAATTGAAACTTTGTAGCCTTAAACAGAGGCCAAGGCAGGCCAGGGCTATGGAAACTTGGCTTTCTCCATCACTAGGGGCAACTCAAGCCTCCTGCTCTCTCTAGCTCTGTGGCTGTTGCCATTTTTGTTGTGATTTATTTATCTTCTATAATTGAAGCTTTGTGGCCTTAAACAGAGACCAAGGCAGGCCAGGGCAGGCTGAAAGGTTGGCTTCTTCCATTGCTGGGGAAACCCAAGCCTCCTGCTTTCTCCATGGCCACTATCAGCTTGGTTGGGTTAATTTGCATACATGCTCCTGATTGACTGGTGGGCATGGCTTGTGTGTGTAGCAGAGGTACAGTCAATTTGCATATTGCTCTTTCATTAGCTAGGACTAGACGCTTGGTGCATGAATTCATGCACAGGTGGAGTCTGGCCAGCCCTCCCCAATTGGGGTCGATTTGGGCTGGTTTGGCTGGGGAAAGGGGCCATGGGAGGTTGTCCAGCCTACCCTGCCCATGATCAGGGTGTGGGAGCTGATTGGGGGCTGGTCCAGCCAGGGGGAGGGGCTGTGGGAGGTTTGCCGGCCAACCCTGCCCCTGATCATATCAGTTGGCCAGTAGAAGTGCACATCATAGTGGCTGGTCATTCCATTCATTCTGGTTGTTTAAGTCACTTGGCTTTTATATAGTATATAGATTAGCCTCCTTATTCTTCACCATTCTTCTCTCTGTCTCTCTTTCCAGATATCTCCTCCATCTGCTTTTCCCTCTCTACCATAATACTTTGTCCCCTCTCTATTAGTTTTCTTTTCCATGCTTCTTCATGTATTTATAGTAAAATATACAAGTACCTAAGAGAGTTTAACTAGTATTTTATAGTCCTAATTCCACATTTTCAGAAAGCCCAGAATTCAAGAATTTCAGCCTGGGTCAAATCAGCTATAGTTCAAGAGCCCAGCTAATCTATACATATTAAGAGGTAATATGCTGCCGAAACCAGTTTGGCTCAATGGATAGAGCATTGGCTTGGGAACTGAAGGGCCCCGGGTTCGATTCTGGTCAAGAGCATGTACCTTGGTTGCGGGCATATCCCCAGTAGGGGGTGTGCAAGAGGCAGCTGATCGATGACTCTCTCTCATCAGTGTTTCTAGCTCTCTATCTCTCTCCCTTCCACTCTGTACAAAATCAATAAAATATATTAAAAAAAAGAGGTAATATGCTAATTTGTATGTTACCGTGTCCCAGTCACAACCAGTCTGTGGTGGGGACAGGGGCAGGGACTTCTACCCCCAGTGCTAACAGCATGCTGCCTGAGTGTATCCCCACCCAGCACTGAGGTGAAGCTGCCTGCCTGCATCCCAAGCTAGGGATGTGATACTGCCTGCGTGCATCCCAGTTCAGAGCTGATGTGATGCTTGGGGGACAAAGTGGGGCGGGGGGGGGGGGGGGAAGCGGGTCTTGATGGGAGACCTCAGGCTGTGCCCCTCACCTTGCAGGGCATGACTAGGGACTTCAGGCCATGCCCCCAGCCCCAGTGCCAGGCCGGGAGACCTCAGGCTGTGCCACCCACCCTGGTGCCAGGTGGGGATACCTCATGCTGCACCCCTGTCCCAGCCCTGGGCCAGGGGATCTCAGGCCACACACCCTGCCCTGGCACTGGGCTGGGAGACTTGAGGCTGTGCCCCCTGCCCAGAGGAGCTTGATGGGGGACCTGAAACTGTGTCCCCCACCTGTGCTGGGCATGGGGACCTGAGGCTGCGCTGCCTGCCCAGCGCTGGGTTGGGGGACCTGTGGTTGTGTCCCAGCCTGGAGGGGCTTGATGGGGTTGGGGCTGGCTAGGTCTGGGTCTCACCCAATGGGGGTGGGGCCAGCCAGGTCTGGGTCTCCTGCATTTTCGAAGCATGTGGATGGTGATTGGGGACTTGACTCTAGGTCCCATGGCATGCCCCAAACTCTGACAGGAGGGAGATTTTATATACATTTTACTAATTTTCTTCATTTCTGACACTTTTATGATAAAGGGCAAATCGCAATATTAAAATATTGCTTCTAATTAACTCCCTTTTAATGTGCATGGATTTTGGGAACCAGGCCACTAGTTTAGTATAAACATTATATTGGGGGAACTGCCCCTGTAGCATGGGTTTCTCAAAGGAGAGTGTTGTAGGCTTGGCAGTAACCCTCGAAAGATTCCTGGAGGAATGAATGACCCATTCATTTAGAAGGGGAGAATGTGTTGTTCAGGCTAGGAAAAAAGAGCTATAGTAGATACCACAGAGACCTTTCCTAGTGTCAGAGTAAAAGCAAGATGTCCTGACTATAGTGAGCTATAATATGCTCTTGAATGGTATGAAATATTGTTTCCCTTCTGTAATCCTTTTTGAAATATTTTTTAAAGTTTTTATTATTTTTATTTCTTACATCACCATTTAGCCTATGCCCTCCTAAAACTAGCCCCTGCAATCATCACACCGTTGTCAATGCCCATGAGTTCCCTCTCTCTTTATTTTCTTTTTGTTCAATCCTTCTACCCTCCACTACTCCACTCCCCCCCCATCAAAACTGTCTGCCTGCTCTCTATCTATGAGTCTGTCTATATTTTGCTTAATAGTTGTTTGTTCATTAAATTCCACATGAGTGAAATCATGTGGTACTTGTTTTTCTCTGACTGACTTATTACCTTCTTAAAAGAATTAAAAATTTTTTCAATTGAAGTTGATATACAATATTATAATAGTTTCAGGTGTACAACATTGTGATTAGACATTTATATAACATACAAAATGATTATCCCAATAAGTGAAGCACCTATTTGACACCATACATAATCCATATTTATAAAAGACTAAGTGACCATCACAACTGAATGGAAGACTGAGCAGTAGACAGAGTGGGGTGATTAGGCCAGCAGAGGGGTCAGTTTGAGGTGACCAAATGATTGAGCAGCAAGCTGCATGGGACGACCAGGCCAGCAGGGGGGTCAGTGAGGGGTGACCGAACAACTGAGCAGCAGTATCTGTGGGGTGACCAGGCCTGTGGGAAGGGGGGCAGTTGGGGGCAACAAGGCTGGTAGGGGGGAAGTTAGGGGAAAACATGCAGGTGAGCAGTTAGGAGCCAGTGGTCCTGATCCTGGGCCTAAACCAGTAGTTGGACATCCCCTGAAGGGTCCTGGATTGGAGAGGGTGCAGGCTAGGCTGAGGGGATTCCCCCACTCCCCAAGCACAAATTTTGTGCACCAGGCCTCTATTTATTATATTATCTATTATATTTCCCATGATGTACTTTATATCCCAATCACTGTTTTTCATAATTGGCAATTTGTATATCTTAATCCTTTTTTTTTTAACCCAGCCTCAACCCCCTCTTGTCTGGCACCCATCAATTTGTTCTCTAAATCTATAAATTTGCTTCTGTTTTGTTTATTTGTTTATTTTATTTCTTAGATTCCACATATAAGTGAAATTGCATGATTTTTTTTCCTGTCTAACTTATTTCACTTAGCATAATATTCTCTAGGTCCATCCATGTCATTTCAAATGAAAGACTTCATTTTTTTTTCATGATGGAATAATATTCTGTTGTATATATGTACCACATCTTTATTTATTTTTCAGTGGACAATTAGATTGCTTCTTTATCTTGGCTTGGAAGTAATGCTGCAATGAACATAGGGGTGCATATGTTTTTATTGAATAAGTGTTTTGTATTTCTTCAGGTAAATGCCCAGAAGTGGAATTGCTCAGTCATATAATAGTTCTATTTTTAATTTTTGAGGAACTTTCATACTGCTTTCCATAGTAGATGCACCAATCTGCAATCCAAACAACAGTGCATGAGGGTTTCCTTTTCTCCACATCCTTGTTAAGACTTGTTGTTTGTTGATTTATTGATGATAGGCACTCTGACGGGTGTGAGGTGACATTACATTGTGGTTTTAATTTTCATTTCCCTGGCTATTAGAGATGCTGATCTTTTCATATGTCTCTTGGCCATTCGCTTTGAAGAAATGTCTATTCAGGTTCTCTTCCACTTTTTAAATAAGATTAGGTTTTTGTATTTATTTATTTATTTATTTATTTATTTA